GAGCGGGTGTCACCGTGAGGGCGGGGGGCAGGGCTGAACAGGGTGTTTTTGCCGAGAGGGTGTGCGCTGGATCTGGCAGAGGGACGGGGTGGGGACGCCGATGGTACCCTGAGGTGCCCTCGGCTGCTGTTAGGCTGGGAGGTTCGTGTTGCTTGGAGGGAAGAGCCCTTTCCCTAGCTGCTTTCCCTGTGCTGCAAGGAGCTCCAAAACCCCTTCTCCTCAGTGTGTGCTGAGCGCCCTGCTTCCCTGGCACCTGCAGATGAGGCGTTTCCTGGAGGTTGCCGAGCCTGCAAAGAGAGTACATCTATGCCATGTATATAATACTGCTTATTCTGCAAATCCTATTGAGGAAAACAGACATAATACCATTTTTTTACTCGCACACACAGATAAAGTCTAGGTTTCATGTTAGCACAGCTGGAGCAGAAAGGTAGTTCCCAGATCAGGCTGCGCTCCTACAGCGTACGAGGTGAAGTGTGGCCTCCAGCAAGGCACGGTACAAGACCTGCCTGCTCCGCATCTCTACCGTCTTGGTAAACGTAGGCAGTACGTATCCAGTGCTTCTCAAACAGCTACAAACCTTAACATTCCTGATTCAGATACAAAAGTGGGATATTTTTGTTTTAACGTAGGTTCTGATTATGCCAACCAATAGAAAATGCAGACTCTGTGAAAACCTGACAGAAGTGAAGTCATCGCGCTGACAAACGTACCGAAATGTACCCAAACTCACAGAAACTTGGTGTGAGGAAGACGGATTCTATCTTAGGTGTGGCCAGTTCCACTACAGTTCCTCAGTACATAAAAAACCCCAGCTCATTTGTTCTTAGCCTAGAAAGTATTGGAAGTACTCTGTGAAACTCCTGGATTTATTGGACTTTACACTGAGGCACAGTCCAAAAATAGAAAATCATCAAAAACTCAGCAAGATTCTCAAGCCCCTGATGTTAATAATTAAGCCTAAAAAATGTAGAACTGTGTAAAAAAAAAAAGTATCATCCTAATCAGGAAAGCAGAATATACATCTCTTGTCTGTTAAAACCACAGGTTGGTATCCTTTTATAAGAAAAGATGACAAGATGGTGATTATTTTTGTTTTGTTAGGAAATTTATTTGGCAATTATTAATGAAAAGAAAAAAATCTCTACGTATTCCTATAAAATTTAGTAAGAGCAAGGTGCTCATTTGCTGTGGTGAGAACTGTGATAAAATAACCTGGTCAAGTGAATGACAAACCAAAAAATGATGTATAAGGAAAAAAATTAAAACTATTTTCTTTCATAAATACAAAACCCCCATTGATATTCAGATATTCCAAAGGGGCATAGGAAGGCCATCTGAATGCTACATTCAGGATTCAGGTTGTGAAGTATATAGCCACATCAGGTGTGATATATGGACTCAAAGGGGTTTTAACATAACAGTCAGACTAATCACTTGAATCACATTTGCATGACAATTCAGCAAAACTCACTGAAGTTATAATAGCACGGTCAATTTCTTTGAGCTGTGTTCGTGCCGGAGACCTGCATCTGCAATCCAGTTCTCAGATTGGATCTGCCTAGGTAGAAAGAGCCGATTCTGTTCTGCACAGTCACAGTGTATATGTAGGCATGCAGCATGATGGGTTATGTGGACCATTAGATGTGGAATGCAAACCCCTTTGTGTTGAACAGGTTCTGTGGTTTAACTGCCACTTTTATGTTGGGAGCCTGAATTTGTAAGCTGTTTTCCTTATGAGAAGGGTTTAAGTTTGTTGGATTTTTAACCTTTAATCCACAATTTAAAACTCTGTATGAGTGCGACTATGTTTACATGCTGTAAGTAGTTCAGAATTTACATGTTAAAAATTTACATATCCACAGTCATGTCACGGAATACAAATTATTGTTACATGTGAGACTGGAAAACATCATGTCTGTATGCGTGTGAAATCAGCATTGATTGAATTCATAGGGCAAGGATATTTCATCTAGGTAAACTGGGAAGTGCAAGGAATGAGGGTTAACCATTGAGGCAATCAAATAGCAACATTTTTTATCATATTACTAGCTTTACATAAACTCTATTTGGTTGTGGAAAAGACATCTTGCGATCGTTAGGGCACAAATTTGCTCGGGAGAACTGATGCAATGGTTTGTACTGTTAAGATGATACCTTCAACCTATGCTGCTGCTACTTTCTCGCTGGGTGTTTGTGTCTAGACCTGGTATCTCAGCTTACCTGTTTGCATTTACACAGGTCTTGCTTTGCACTGAAGGTTGATGTAGGGGTTTAAGGATGGGGCTTGAGAGGTGGCCTAGGGAGTCAGTTTCTGCGGCACTTCTTTAGCGGGTGGGTTTTTTGGTCACGTGGTGTTTTCCAACATCTCCTGCCCCGATTACACTGACAGATATATTATTATCACAATCTTCTTCTCCACCCTCATCTCGGTGCAAGGTGGTTTGCATTGTAGACCCTCTGGTTCTAACAACAGGCTGTGGTTTCTGTGGCAGATGGAGAGGCTCAGTTTAGTAATAACCAGGTGAACACCAGCCATTTCAAAAGTCAAGCTGTGACAGAATGAGGTTTCGCCTCTCTAATATATTTCAGTACGTTTCTGGAGCCATGTAAAGCTGCTTTTATATTCCCCTTGTTGCACAGTCAAGACTTTTTTTTTTCCTCCCCTTTAACTTAAGTCATTTAACTACATTTGTGAAACCTAAGTGATCACAACTGAATACTTCTCTGCTCCTGACAAATTTTTTATTTAGTCTTCTGTGCACCCATGAACGGCAAGTGACCCATTTAAATCTCACTGTTTTGTCATTAATATATAAAAAAAGGTATTATTCTGTATTCCTTGAATGTAGTAGTGAGAACTAACTGTCTGAATGTCTTCCTTTTTCTCTCCCCTTCCTCCATCGCTAGTACTTCAGTAACATCTGCCAAAATCCAAGTGAATGGAGTCCACCTGCACTATCAGCAGACAGGAGAAGGAAGCCATGCGGTTCTTCTGCTTCCCGGAATGCTAGGTCTGGAGATTTTGTCTTATCTTTGTAGAGCAACCACTTCTTTCGCCATCCGGTCTCAAGCTAGAACGCACCAAACTGTTTTGTGATGTGTTGGACACCTGATTATGGAGCATCGTCATTAAAAAAAATTGCTGCACATACAGCAGACAGGAAAAGGCAGTTATTGCAGTCAGTTAAGAGTTTTTAAAGATTTTGTTTTTCTCATCAAGCACATTTTGGTTTGATTTGTGTAATAGTCATATAATCATAGAATCATAGAATGGTTAGGGTTGGAAGGGACCTTAAAGATCATCTAGTTCCACCGCCCCTGCCATGGGCAGGGACACCTTCCACTAGACCAGGTTGCTCAAAGCCACATCCCGTCTGGCCTTGAAGACATCCAGGGATGGGACATCCACAACATCTCTGGGCAACATGTTCCAGTGCCTCACTACCCTCTCTGTGAAGAATTTCTTCCTGATATCTAATCTAACCCTCCCTGTTTTCAATTTGTACCCGTTACCCCTTGCCCTATCACTACAGGCTCTTGTAAAAAGTCCTCTCCCAGCATCCTTGTAGGCCCCCTTCAGATACTGGAAAGCTGCAATGAGGTCTCCTCGGAGCCTCCTCTTCTCCAGGCTGAACAAGCCCAACTCTCACAGCCTTTCGTCATAGGAGAGGTGCTCCAGCCCTCTGATCATCTTCGTGGCCCTCCTCTGGACTCGCTCCAAGTGGTCAATATAATCACCAGTAGTCACTCACACTCGGATTTACCTGTGCAAAGGTGGTGCCCAGCAGAGGTGGCAAATAGCTACACAAGGTGCAAAAGAACAGGGAGGTAGAAATCAGGTCAGCTGTGTTTGTTACACAGACTGAGTGATGCATTCCTTTTAGAAACTAGGTGCATTCCAGTGCAGCACTTGCAATTTATTATCGTGGTGAAAAAGGCACAGTTGAGACTGGCTTTTTGCTTAAAAATGTATTTTGGTTATTCGAGACAACATCATTAAGATTCTCAATGGCTTTTTGAGGTGGACAGCAGGTTCTGCTAGCTAAGTGACATCTGTCCATCAAGACCTCTGCTTTTGATAGCAACTTTTTAAAATGAGCACTGGCTTTTTTTCCTGGGTTCTTGCAGTTTTGATGGCAGGCTGTCAGCAGGACCGTTACTATGCCCAGAGCTGGGCTCATGTTTAACTGAATTGCTGGATCAGGATGATAGAATGTCGAGGACTGAAGAGTGGGAAACATTTGTTCGTCTTGGCAGCAACATTTTCAAGTCTTCCTGAAGTGTCTCTTTCTTGAAAAGAATTCTCAAGGGCAGGGTGGAATAAAGTTAATGCTAGGGATGCTTGAGTGGTCCTATATTTTAACCTATGCATTTAAAACAGCTTTTTAAACTAGTAATCCTGTTGCCAGTGCTAACTCTTTAAACAGAAACAATGTATTTCTCCAGTTGTGAGTAATACTATTACTAGGTGTGAATTGCTGTTGTTCAGTTAGCATTATTACAAACAGTAACAGTTAGGCTTCCTATCTTTACCATTATCAAGTTTATGGAGTAATATTTTGAGCAACATGTGGGGGTGAGCTTTACATGCTGACTGTCACATAGTTCTTCCCTTTGCCTGATACTAAGTTTTCAGTATCACTGCATACTACTTACAGTATTAACAGGCTAAATAAGTGTGTCGTGGCAAACAGATAAGTGTTTTTAGCTCAGTAGAATTAATTAGTCTCTAGACTATTTGTAAACTATATTAAAACAGAAGTGGTGTTTCTCGTTTTAATTAGAAAGTACCGAGAAAACACAGCATTCGGATATGCTTGTGGATTATTTTTTGTAACAAAAAATACAGTATAACAAGCACATGCATGATAGTGCAGAGATTCAAACAAAGCCTATGTAAGATTACGTGATTAATATTAATCAGGTTGTGTGGGTATTTTTCAGTCAACCTGGTATTTTTCTCCTGACTCTAGGTATTAATTGGTGTTGCAAGAGAGAAGAGATCACGTCAGGCTGCAGTCAGCTCATTATGGCATGCTATATACAGCCTCTTTTATCATTTAGACCCGTTAATGGTGTAGGAGGAGGTATCTGAGGATGTGTTTCTACAAGCGAATAGGAAAAAAAATTCTTAAATGTCCTTAACCAGCCTTCTTAAATGTAACGAGGGATCACCAATTTGATATTTGATGTACATCATTGGAATATATCTGTTCTGAACAGGTTTTAATCAAGCAGCAGGTGATAATGTTACCACATGACCATCATTTATTCCAATAAGGAGTAAATCGTAGCCGTACCTTCATGCTAGTGTTTGTAGATAGCTCAGTGAAGTAGACTGGAGCGCTTCATTTTTTTAATCCTTTGAAGGTCTGAGCCACCATAAAAAAACCCTTTTCTACATCAGAAAAAAATAGCTGTAATTGGCTTATTTTGGTAACATACATATTAGAAAAGTCAAGTTACAGCTTTATGCTTTTTGTATCACCACTGTCTCCTCAGGCAGCAAAGTATTTAGAGCTCAGCTTTAAGCACCAGTATGCTCACAGAAGCGTTGTATCGAATAAGAACAACTGTCTTGCACCGTGCTTTTCACCTACAAAGTTGTCGCCAGTCAGTATGTTCCTTCCCTTTCCACCTCACCTGTGCTGTCCAAATAAACAGCACTGACACTGCTAGTGCTTTAAATCTGTTAAATCCCCACCCGGGTAATGCAGTTTAAGGTTCTGTATTGAAGCACCTGTGTAGAGCACAGGTGTTGATAAGCTTACGTACCTGCCAGAAGTGGTGTGCTCTGAGCGTATTGCAGATAGTCCTGAAGATGTTTGCTGTGGAGCTTCCTGTCTGGGCGTTGCAGTGGTTGGTTACAATTAGAAAGAAAGCATTCTTCTGTCCATGGATAACCTCTTTTTTAGAATTAAGGATACAAGTTTACCCGTGTTTCCATTTAGGGTACGTATACTCTGTATGTGTTATGGTGGTTACTGTGACTGAAAAATGATGATGTTTCAGGGAGTGGTCAAACCGATTTTGGGCCACAGCTGAAGTCTATGAATAAGCAACTTTTCACAATTATTGCTTGGGATCCTCGGGGATATGGACAGTCCATTCCTCCATCTCGAGACTTTCCTCTGGATTTCTTTGAGAGGGATGCAAAAGATGCTGTGGATCTTATGCAGGTAAATCTATTCTGAGATTTTATATATTTAAAAGCCATTTTCCTTAAATTTTGAGAAGGAGGAAGAGTACTGTTAAGCAGGTTGTTTCCAGCAGACAGCAAGTTACGCCAAAGGGCATACAACTGAAGGCTTAAACTGAACAGTTGCACTCTATTCTGGAAAATATTTTCTTCTTCCATCTCTTCTGCATGTTCAGCAGTGGGAATTAATTATAAAGCAATACGTTTTTATTCCAAGACCCTGCCCTAAGAGGTTTGCAGCCAAGAACCACATAAGTTTAGGTAAAGTGTATATAAAAACCAAAGTCTGTGCTAAGTGGTTTAACTGAAGGGATTACAGTAGTGAAAGGCTCTTAGAAAATTTTCTAGCTAATAGAATCTTGGCATTTTGCCTTGAGCAGCCCATTTCAAGAAACATTGGATTCTAAAAATTAACTTGATGCTTTGCATTTTAAAGCATACTACTGAAATAATTTTTGTGGGAAATCGAAGGGTTCCTGCGATCATACCAGATCTTAATAACTAATACAGCTGTTGTGATTATGTGACCTAAAGCTGTTATTACTTCTCCATCTTGCAGAATTTTTTATTTCAAGTCTGTTTTTCTGTGTTTCTCTTTTGTTCATTCCTATAAGTACCAACACTGTTTTCTGGTTTAGTTTTAACTAATATTTTGGCTTTGTTGTATTAAGCTATACTGTCTCTTTGGCCATGTTAAGAAAGTTGGGAGAGCATTAAAATTCCAAAAATATGAGACAAGATTTAGACAGTCAATCCAACTGTATTTCTGTAATAAGCAGCAACCTTGCAGAAACCCATCTGAAATTGGAAACGCAGCCTTCCTGGAGCATTCCGCATAGCGAAGCAAAGTAAGTCTGACAGCAGAATCAGGATTAAGAGACAGTTTTGCCCTCTAACCATAATAACAATCTCTCTGCACTGTAGATCACCAATTCCTTGTGCTACACTAACAAAGAAAATAAAGATGCTGCCATGGATAGGTGACAAACTTTCAGTCCAAGTGCTTGCAACCCCCTTCCCTGCCTCTGTTCAAATACTAAGAAATGCAAAATAAAAAACAGAGCTGTCCCCAGAGAGGATGTAACCATGTACTGTCCAGTCAGACAGGACAGCAGCCTACCAAACTCTAAAGCTTCCAAAACAAATGAGACAAAACATCCTGGTTTTTTGAAGACTTTTATCAGTACAAGCATATAATAACAAATTATTAAAATCTTCCCAAGTGTGGTAACTTGCATCTCTTTTAACATAACATATAACGGTTAGCACAATCCCAAAGAATCATCCCAACCAGGATTTCCAGTATAAAACAGCCATAACTCTTGCAGAGGGCTTTATAATATGTATGGTTTGCCTGCACTCAGCCAGAAAACCCATCTGTATAGGTGAGCCTTCAGAACATTTATTCTAGGCTCCTTCAGATTCCGGTGTCTCTGCTGGAGCTGGGAATGCTGCAAGGTCTCTGCCAAGTAACAAAAGCTGAGATCCTGCAGGGTGTTTAGCACCTCGATGCAGCCGGCAGCGCTCTGCATCACTGCATCTGTTCTGCGAAGGAGTTTGCTTCCAATAAAAGGAGTATAATGCAAGGAAGTCCACTTTGCTGCACTCCATCCCAATGTCTAACAGTAGCAAAGGGCAATAGCATTTAAACAATCATGGAAATAATTAGTGTTGGTATTTAAGAGGTTCTTGCTCTTCAGAGCTACTGTCCTAATGAAAGGATGGGCTTGGGCTTCTCCAAATTTTTGTAGATCACCTGCAACCCTTACTCGAGGTGTACTCCCTGCGATCTAGTGAAAGCATACAGCACACAGTAGTGCTGTAAGTTACGTCTGTCACAGTGTATGTGATCATAGAATCATAGCCTGGTTTGGGTCAGAAGGGACCTTAAAGACCACCTAGTTCCAACTCCCCTGCCGTGGGCAGGGACACCTTCCACTAGACCAGGTTGCTCAAAGCCTCATCCAGCCTGGCCTTGAACACTTCCAGGGATGGGGCATCCACAGCTTCTCTGGGCAACCTGTCCCTGTGCCTCACCACCCCCTCCGTGAAGAACATCATCCTGATATCCGATCTAAATCTCCTGGATGGAGGAGGTGATTTCAAAAGAGATTTGTTCACTATGGGGTAAGGCCAACGCAAAATCACCCACAGAATTGAGGAGGTGCAACCAGCTCTCAGGTTAAAGCCAATGTTAGGTAGAGGCCTGTACTGGAAGTAGTTCAAGATTAAAGCAAGCACACACGCACATCACATCCAGCACATCTGTTCTATCACATTGTTTTTTTGGAAGGCTGCAAAGAAGAAATTAAATTCTTCCTGCTGCAAAGGCATCCTGAAACAACCCAGAGAATGCTTCAAGATAATGGTTAGTAAACAAGAGAAATACTGGAGGCAAATAGGCCTCAGTTGAAGATCTATGGAATAGATAGAAGAATAAAAATTTTACTCAGCTATTCCATCCATCGGTCAACTTTGAGATCCGTACTTTGGTAGTGGCAGTAGGGGAACAGCAGCAACCACAGCAAAAACTTCAGCTTAACAAACGTTGCTGTCAACTCCTGAAACTTGCTAAGACACCAGTGACCACCAGTGATCCTGCAAGCTGGTCACAGATAACAACAATCGGACCAGAGCCAACCTGTGGTCAGCTGTCAGCTCTTACTTTTCCTGTTGTTTCTTTCCCTTACCTTATTTCTTTTCTGTTTAGTAATTGTAGCTTAGCAGAGCGAAATCTGATGTTGAGCAACACTACAGCAAGCCTGATACCGAGGAAGAAGCCAAAACCAGAAAAACCTGATGGTGGTAGAAGTTTCCTAGGTATTGGGTTGACTGGTAAAGTCACGCCTCACTTGAGCATCGAGTTTACAGACTAGAAACATTTTTTTATTTTTTCCTCTGTAGTTCTTTCCTCATTGCCTGCATTTTTGCTTTCTTCTGACCAAAGAAAGCAGGCCTGGATTTCCAACAACCAAGCACAAAACCAACTCATTTCCTCTTTTTCCTCCAAAAGTATAACATCTTTCCTTAATCACACCTAAAAGGCTGCCAAAAAAACCTAAAACTAAGAAAACACTTTGAAACTTTTATGTTTGTATGTGAAAAAGATCACAAACTGAGGCTTCTATATGCAAAACTGCAAATCCTAATTAACCATTTAACATCATCCCTGTACAACCTCCAGGTGCATTTGCTCCCGAGTGCCTTTACCTTCCCAACCTTTGCCCAGTGAACATCACACACACAAAATCCCCTCTCCTGTCCCTGCCAGTACCCACTACCACACATAGCGGTATATGAGGAAACAAGAGTTTCAATTTTGAGTGGAAATCGTTCAAGTCAGGATGAATTAAGGTCTTTGCTGTCATATATTTTTGCCCTGAGCCTTCCTTTTCAAGAATGAGGAATTTCATTATTAATGTTTTGAACTGCAGTTCATCATGAAGTAACATTTAAAATGCCCATTTAAAAGCTTCAGAAGATGCCAATTAGGCACTAAAGTTTGATACAATCCTATAGCCAGTACTTGAAACATTTTTTTTGTTACAGAGCAGATTATTTTTTTAGATCAGGTAACGTCAGTAAATTAGATCGCTGGGTTCTAATTTTCACATCTTAAACTTTTTTTTTCTTGAGCTCATCTTGGTCTTTGATGACTTACCATCCCACACTGGGGTAGTCTTTGCCAACTTTATACCAAGAAAATCCACAGATTTTTGATACCATCAGGCTATCTGAAAAGTTCTTAACTCTCCATTGTAAATAAACATTGCTTAACTTCAAGAGGGCTTTTTTTAAATGCAGCAAGAATCTAACATAGCCACTGCCTGTTTCATTAGATAGCTGTAGAAAACTGGAAGGGCAGGTATAATTTCTTGGTTTGTAGATACTTGATCTTAAGTATTTTATGTATAGCAGGAAAATTGTATTTTCTCATTATGAAAGCTAACTATAGTTCAACTACGTAGTGTTGTGTCTAAATCTGTACTGATAGTTTTCAAGAAATATTTGATATTTGCTTGTAAAACCAGCTGATGACTTGCATATAACTTTCTTGTACAAATCAAGGCACTGAAATTTAAGAAGTTCTCTTTGCTGGGGTGGAGTGATGGTGGAATTACAGCACTCATTGCAGCTGCAAAGTATCCAACTATTATCCACAAGTTAGTTGTCTGGGGAGCAAACGCCAGCGTTACTCAAGAGGATGTGAGAATTTATAATGGTATGTACAAACTGCATAGCATATCCTAAAAGAATTATTTTCATTTCTTCTTGACCTAAGAATCTCAGTCACTTAACAGCTAAGTGGAGACAGAGTTGAGGACACAACCAACCTGAAGGAACAGGACACAAAATTCACCAAGTTGCTAAGTATAGGGGCAAAGTCATAATGAGAAAATCCCTAACAATTATTCTAGGGCTCACGTAATAGAATTTTTAACAAGCCCTTAACAACTTACACTGAAAAACATATGTTACAATAGCCAATCGGCAGGGCAGTCTTCAAGAAGTCAAATTTTTGTTGCAGTAACAAATTCCTAAAAATAAATTCAAAATGGTACTATTGACCCCAGGCTGGTTTTCTTTTCTCACGTCTTGCACAACCTTTAAACAAAGTCCACAGAAAAATCACTGGGCTAGCAGATTGCAGCTTTTGCCTCTAGGGCCTATATAATACATAAAAGTAAAAAAACAAGCTCACATCTCACCGTTTCAGTTCAGGAAGCGAATGAATCATTCAAGTAAGTGTCCCAGGGTGCCTTTCCAATTTCCATTCCTTTGAAGTTAATTATTGCGGTTACAAAGCCTTTGCAAAGTAAAGAAACGTGGGATTTCTGATCCTTACTCCACTCAGATGAAATAGAATCTGATCATTTGTCACTCTAAAGGAAAATAGCAAAAACTGCAGTAAACTAAGAAATGGACCATATTTCCTTTTGAAATTAGAAATTAAGAGAGTTACCCATGCAGGCTATCAACAAATGTAACCCAGTATATTTTCACTTTAGTGACTGGAGTTTGATTTATACCAGCTGTGAAATCTGGCTGTGTCTTCAGCTAAATTACAAGTGTATGTATTGCCCAGGTGTACTTACCTCACCTATACTGAAGCTCTTTCATTTGTACTAGTATATTTTTTTTAGTTCAGTAAGCAAAATGCTTTTCAGCTCTGTAAAAATGCTGCTTTTCTTTACATGCTTTTACATTGATTAAGTTTTTATTATATAATTATGAAGTGCATGTCGGTTAATATCAGCCAACAGGCTAAAATGTGAAAAAATAAAGAGGGACTGGTGCTTTCAACATCTTTCTCTAGGTGACAGAGCGCAGACAGTAGCAGCACAAGCCGCCTACAACTGGCCCATGAGTGCGTCTTCGCTGCAATGGAGGGTTTTGTAGGAGAGAAAGGTGTTTATTTGGTATCTGTGGCCTTTCACCATTGGTGTTTCCCCCCCCCACCTTCTTAAATTAAGGCCAGCCGCAGGGATGAAACAGGAGATTCTATAAGGAAAACAGCTGTTCAGTAACAGCTAGCCTGGGGTGAGCAAACTCATTTCCAATCAGATGTTGTTATAAAGCACTTTCAGTCACTGCCGCCTGGCTCATTCGGCTGGACAGGTTCTGATTGTTAATTAACACCTCGCTCCTTTCTTCCCTTAATTCCCATTTGAAGCCAATTAAAAGCTTTTCTAGTGGCATATATTGCTGTTGGATGATTCAGTACCTTCCAGGTCTCTTTCAGGCTCTCAGCACTGGTTTGGGCTTTATCAATACAAAGCTGTACAGCTGAAATATAGTTTAGGGAAAGTCACACCTGTGGATATCTGTTTTGTGAGCAATACTGAAAATTTTAAAGGGGAAAAAATAAGTAAAACTGATAAATAAATAACTAGAATGTCGGATTATTTGTACAGCTTTAGCCAGCCTGCTGTGAGTCACAGAGCTCTGCTAAGTAGAGTTGCTTGTTTCTCTGTAAGACTGTGGCAAATGTACCGTGATGTCAGCCTGCTGGAATGCCTTAGTAAGAACTTCCTTCCTCTGAACAGTGGTAGAAGCTATGGAAGGACTTCCATCCATGAGCCAAAGCAAAAGGCTGAAGGATGTAAGAAAGAATGGCCAGCTCTGGCACACTGTTCTAGAACTGTCCCCTTTTCGTACACAAGGTACTTACCTCCTCGAGCTCCTATTCTGCAAGCCCTCTGAAAAGACACATCGAAAGTTTTGGGACTGGGTCCTTTGGTAA